CAGTCCTTTGTGTAACCCGGCCTGTCCTTTATGTAAAATAGCCTGCCCTTTATGTAACCTCACCTGTCCTTTATGTAACCTTGCCTGTCCTTTATGTAACCGGCCTTTGTTATAAAATCCCTCAGATTTTATAGTTGCTGGTTCTCGTTCGTTGGGACTGTATACTATCACGACACCACAACTCGTTTTCAACTTTTATTAACAATAGCTCATTACAAGTCTGATCACTACGTTCGATCGGTAAACACTCTGTCCCTCCGTTCAAAACCCTCTCTTATTTATACTGTCTGCTGTTTCAACCATGAGATTTTTGTTTCTCAGAGGAAGGTCAGTGCTGACGCACTTGACTGCCCATAATTTCCCCCTAATCTACATTAGTTCCTCGCTTGTTGACCACAGCCTCCCTACATACCATTTCCTTTGCGTCTCTATGCATTGTTGACTATCTGTGGTTCACCATGTTCCTCTACTGTGTGCAAGGGCGAAACCTCTTCCCGATTGTTCGGTTGTTTCTCTAGTGACTATTTTAAACCCTAAAACTTACAGTTTTACTTACACTATACTTAACTAATTTAAACACTCTCCCCCTTGACTTGGTACAAGTCAATCATCTCTCTCGTTTTCGTTCAGAAGAAATCGCCGCTGCCCTCCGAGGACATTTCTCTCAGAGGTTCCTTTAGCCGAATTTCCCGACTTGGACTCTTCACCGCCTATCACACCTGTCTTTCGTAATTGCCGTCTTACACCGGATCTCAAGCGGATAAAGTTTTTTACAGGCCTACTCATACGAATTGGGTTACCTTTTGTTAGACCCGAATTTTCGCGCCCCTAACAACCTTGTCCTTACCAATCACAAGCCTTCCACTACTGCTGTTTCCAGCTGCCTCGCTTAACATCATCTTCCTGTACTGTAACTACATCTCCCACCTGTACTACCTTTTTCCCTTTGTCTGTCCTATTCTTATGATATTCTCTAAGCCCCGAAAGGTATTCGTTTCTCCACCTATTCCAGAAATGCATTAATCTAGTGCTCAAGTTTCTGAATCTTCTAGTACAATTAGTTTCATTCTCTTCTTCTTCTTCTATTGGTACATCTGGTAATGATTTTATTCTCCTTCCAAAGATTAAATGTGATGGGGTTAATGTTTCCGCGTCTGCTTCGTTATATTCGTATGTCAGTGGCCTAGAATTTAATGTCCCTTCAATCTCAACTAAGATCGTCATCAATTCGTCATATGTCAACCTAGCCCTTCCTAATACTTTTCTTAAACATCTTTTCACACTTCCGACCATAATTTCGAAAAATCCACCCCACCATGGGGCCCGTTCCAAATTAAATTTCCATTCTACTTGCAACTTATCTAATTCGTGTCTAATTTCTGGGTGGTTCTGAAGTTTATCAATTGCCTTAGCCGCCGCTTTAAATGTTTTAGCGTTGTCCGAAACAATTAAACTTGGCGTTCCTCGCCGCGCTGTGAACCGTCTTAACGCTTTTAAAAATGTCGCTGCCGATAAATCATTAACAAGCTCTAAATGCACAGCTCTTGTGACACAACATGTGAATACGGCTATGTATGCTTTGCTCATATCCTTCGACTTTCTTTCTTTCACAAACAGCGGTCCCGCAAAATCGATTCCTACCTTAGAAAATGGTGCTGTCTCTCTTACTCGAAATTCGGGCATAGCTGCTGTTTTTGGATTACTATAAGACGTGCCCTGCCATCTTTTGCAAATTACACAAGCATTCAAAATCTTTTTGACCGTTTGCCTTCCCTTTGGCACCCAAAATCTCGATCTTAATTCTGTCAGTGTTGCTCTCACGCCGCCATGATGTACCGCAGCGTGGCACTCTATTATTATCAATTTCGTTAGTCTGTGCTCGCATGGGAGTATTATGGGTTTTCGCGCTTCCATACTTAATTCCGAATTGAGCAATCGTCCGACACATTTGAGGACTCCCTGTTCTTCCTCAATCCCAAACTGAACTCTTAGTTGTTCAAAATTCGCTTGCCGTCTTAAACTATTTTGCGCCTCAATCCCAGTCTCTTAATGCAGTACTGTACTCAGCTTTGGTTAGTGGTCCCCTCAACCGTTCGACCGCTCTCGATCTCGCAAGGCAGTTAAAAGCGAAGCGCCGCACCCATGCTGTTATTCTTAGAAGTGTTAGTCGACTACTGAAGTCGTCTATCGATATTACGCGATTAATGCTCTCAGCTTCTTGCAATTGCGTTCCCGTAAGCAGCGTAACTGCCGTCTTTTTCTCTTCAGCCTTACTCTCTTCTGTGCTTGCACTTGCAGCGCTTTCTGATGCGGGCCATGCGTGTTCGCCTTTAGTCAACCATGATGGGCCGTACCACCATACCTCTTTCATGCTTAATTGCAAGGCGCCTATTCCTCGTGGTCCTATATCTGCCACATTATGTTCTCCCGGGCAATGTCTCCATTCTCGCTTATTGCTTAATTTCAATATTTCATTTACTCTATGCCGCACAAATTGCTTCCATTCCCCTCGATTTTGGATCCAACATAGCGCAGTTTTGCTGTCAAGCCAATATGTTATTTGGCTAGCTTCTATCTGCGATCCTAGGGCGTTCTTAATTGTATGCATCAGTCTAGCTAGCAGCGTTGCAGACATCAAATCCAGCCTGGGTATCGTCAAAGTTTTTAGCGGTGCTACCCTCGACTTGCTGGCGATCAATCGTGCATAATAACCATTCTGCGTCCGGCTTAAAACATACACAACAGCTGAATACGCCTTATTACTCGCATCTGCGAACCCGTGAAATTGGTACTCTAATATTTTCTCTTTCGGACTCTTATACAAACACCTATCGACTTCAATGAATTTCGTTTCACGAAGCTCTTTTAACCATGCGTTTAGTGTCTGCTTTTTCTCTTCATGTAATTCGCCATCCCAATCATAATTCGCAGCACAAAGCTCTTGGAAAAGTAATTTCATGCTAACTAAAACTGGCGATATAATTCCTAGCGGGTCGAAAATTCTTGCCAAAAGGCTGAGCACATTCCTTTTAGTTGGCTTAAGATTTTCCGCTGCGCTGATTACACTTCCAAAATCAAATCTTATCTTATCACGTTTAGTATCCCATGCTTGCCCTAAAACCTTTTCAGTGCCCCCTGTGGCTTCGGAACCCAAGGTCGTCTTGGCATAACTCAAGTCATTTTCTTCCACGCTGTTTTGTTGCAATATTGCGGTTTCCGACTTTGCAATTCGCGCCCTCAAACCGTCGTCGTTTGTTTTCCATTTCCGAAGCTTAAATCCGCCTTCGGTTAACCTAGTTTTAGCCTTTAAGTATAGATCGTAAGCTAGTTCACTCGTCTCGTCACCTGTAACCATATCGTCCACATAGAAACTCTCAATCATTGTCTCAACGAACTTCGGATCTAATCCCTTATATTTAGAAAATGATACCTTAAAGTTGCGTTTAACAGAAATGGAGAGGAATTTAGCCCAAATACCACTCGACAGAACCTATAAACCTCAACTTCCGAACTTGCATTTTTCGCGTCTTTTAACCACAAAAATCGTAAACAATCCCTATCAGCTTTATCAACTTCTATATTTAAAAATGCTTTTTCAATATCGGCAATCAAGGCTACTCTCTTTTGTCTAAAACGTACTAAAATGTCAAAAGCAACGGATTCAATGAGGGTCCTACATGTAAACATTCATTTAGAGACGCGCTCTTTTTGCCCCCGCTCTTCGCAGAGGCGTCGTAGACAATGCGCAGCTTCGTCGTTACCGCGTCCTTTCGCACCACGGCCAAATGTGGTAAATAGTGCACCTTTTCTGCCCTTTCTAGTTTTGCGACCTTTTCAATAACGCCCGAACTTAGCTGCTGTTGTATAATTGCGTCATACTCATTCAAAAGCGCAGGGTCATGCTTAAGCTTCTTAACTTGACCTTTCAGTCGCGATATACACATTTCGTAATTACTTGTCAAGTTGTCGTGACTCTCTTTCCAAGGCAATTTTACTGAATATTTTCCTTCGCTGAAGGAAATGTTATCGACAAATTCCTCATGCACCTCATCTACTTGTTGTATACCTAACGTTTCTAATCCCATAATCTTTGAACATCACATGCAAGAGGCTCATTCTTTGCTACAATATTTACATGCGCTACCGACATGTTGTGCTGCTCATATCGTATTGTAGTGGCCCAGACAATGTCCAACCTAGCACTGTCTTCACAGCAACGGGGTCGGCCGGCTCGCCACGAATAGTAACCCCAGTTTGAAATTGCCATAAGTAATCTGCCCCAATTAAAATATCTATATCTAGTCATCTGCCTGCCTGTGAACATCCGAGAACCAAACGTTCTTCAGATGTGGATATTTGTACTTTTCAACTTCAACATGCACGTTAGAGATCCGCGAAATTTCGGGTACAACAAAGGCTTCAATTCGTATGGACTTTGCTCCCCCCGTGTGAAGCAAATCTATGGAAACAACCTCATGCAACCGCGATCCGCTGGACTGATTTCCGAATGTGTTCAACGCGAACCACTCTTTCCTCACTAATTCAAGTTTCGCGGACTTAGCTATCTTACTTGTTACGAACGTTTTTTGGCTTGCCGAATCGAATAAAACCCTAACTCTAGCCTCCCCCCGCCCTTTGACTATGGCTTGGGCTGTTTGAAGAGCTACACGGCTGCTAGAGCTCACATGTAAATTCCCAATTTCGGCCCCAGGAACCCTTTGGTCAGCAGGGACTTCTCTTTCGTTTCCCTCATTCTCCTCACACAAAGCTGTGTGGTGTTTACCATTACATTTTTCACAAACAATCTCCTGTCTACAATCACGGGCCCTATGACCCTTTTTCATGCTGTTAAAGCATCTAGAATATTTAATCAAAATTTGCTTACGTCCCTTAAGTTCCACTTTTTTGCAGTCCTGGTGTTTGTGCTTTCCCAGGCAGAAGGCGCAGCTGTCATCATTTCTCTTTACAAGTAGCGCATTTCCCGAACCAAGGCCGCTGTTCTAGCCGTTGAACCTCTTTCTTGGCTCTTCCTCTGGTCGGCTATATTCTTCGCGCAACTCCACTTCCCCTTCCAGCGCGCCCAACACATCGTTCATGCTCCATTCACTATGGGGTTTGTCTCTTGTGATTGTCAGTCGCACAACTTCTGGGATCTTTTCTAGTATCGCTGGCACCACGATATCCGAGTATGAGGCCTCGTCCACCCCAAGGGCTTCCAATCCTCGATAGTGTGTCTCTATTTTGTCGATCAAATGTCTCAATCGTCCGCTGTCCCTTGCGCTGTAAACTGGTTGGACTCTTAGCAACTCCTGTATGTGTGCCCGTCTGATGAGCTTGTCTTTCCCGTACCGTTTCTTCAGGAGTTGTACTGCGGCTTCGTAATTCGCGGTCGTCAAGGAAAACCCGGCTATCGCAGCCTTTGCTTGCCCCATTAGCAAGCTTCGTAAATAGTTGAACTTGTCCACGTTTGACAATCCCGTGTTCTTGTGGATCGCACTTTCGAACCCGTCCCAGAACTCCTGCCACTCTTCGATTTTTCCGCCGAACCGCTTCGCTTCGAGCTTAGGCAGTCTCGCTCGAACTGTTGAACTTCCTGGTGTTGCTTGCTCAGGCGACGTACCAACATGCTCCGACGTCTCTAGACTCTCGACCGTTGCTTCGCTGGTGCTCGCCACTGCCCCACTCGTACTTGCCACCGCCGGTTTGCTCATCGCTTTCTCAAGAAGCGTCGCTGTCGCTTTGATGTCACTCCGGAGCATGTAGCATTTCTCGATTTCGGCCTGCATTGCCGCTTCGTCCACTTCGTCGTCATCTCTCAGGATTTCCAAAATCTCCTTGTCCAAGGCCTCTAACAACGCGACTTGTTCTGTTAGCGCCGTCTTCAGTTGGGTCGCTTTGGTCTGCTGTTCGATGTTATAGTCGCTCGCGATTGCCTTCCCTCGGGCAAAATCGTTGCCACGAATCCTCTGTGGCCGCTCCTCACCTTCTTTTGCTTTCTTAGTTGATCAGACATCTAACTATCCGGCTCGAAGGACCACGTGTTATAAAATCCCTCAGATTTTATAGTTGCTGGTTCTCGTTCGTTGGGACTGTATACTATCACGACACCACAACTCGTTTTCAACTTTTATTAACAATAGCTCATTACAAGTCTGATCACTACGTTCGGTAAACACTCTGTCCCTCCGTTCAAAACCCTCTCTTATTTATACTGTCCGCTGTTTCAACCATGAGATGTTTGTTTCTCAGAGGAAGGTCAGTGCTGACGCACTTGACTGCCCATAATTTCCCCCTAATCTACATTAGTTCCTCGCTTGGTTGACCACAGCCTACCTATATACCATTTCCTTTGCGTATCTATGCATTGTTGACTATCTGTGGTTTCACCATGTTCCTCATACTTGTGTGCAAGGGCGAAACCCCTTCCCTCGATTGTTCGGTTGTTTTTCTCTAGTGACTATTTTTATAACCCTAATAACTATATACTTTTACAGTTTTACTTAACTATATACTTAACTAATTTATAACAGCCTTCCTTTATGTAACCTGCCTGTCCTTTATGTAACCTGGCCTTTTCTTTATGTAACCTGGCCTTTTCTTTATGTAACCTGCCCTTTATGTAACCTGGCCTGTCCTTTATGTAACATAGCCTGTCCTTTATGTAACCTGGCCTGTCCTTTATGTAACATGGCCTGTCCTTTATGCAACCTGGCCTGTCCTTTATGTAACATGGCCTTTCCTTTATGTAACATGGCCTTTTTTTTATGTAATTTGCCCTTTCCTTATGTATTCTGGCCTGTCCTTTGTGTAACCTGGCCTGTCCTTTATGTAATCTAGCCAGTCCTTTATGTAACCTCGCCTGTCCTTTATGTAACCTCGCATGTCCTTTATGTAACCTGCCTGTCCTTTATGCAACCTGCCTGTCCTTTATGCAACCTGTCCTGTCCTTTATTTAACATAGCCTGTCCTTTATGTAACCTGGGCTATCCTTTATGTAACTTGGCCTGTCCTTTATGTAACCTGGCCTGTCCTTTATGTAACCTGGCGTTTTCTTTATGTAACCTTGCCTGTCATTTATGTAACCTGCCCTGTCCTTTATGTAACATGGCCTGTTCTTTATGTAACATGGCCTTTTCTTTATGTAACCTGCCCTGTCCTCTATGTAACCTGGACTGTCCTTTACGTAACATTGCCTGTCCTTTATGTAACCTGCCTGTCCTTTATGTAACCTGGCCTGTCCCTTATGTAACATGGCCTGTCCTTTATGTAACCTGGCCTGTCCTTTATGTAACCTGGCCTGTCCTTTATGTAACCTACTCTGTCCTTTATGTAACATGGCCTGTCCTTTATGTAACCCGGCCTGTTCTTCATGTAACCTGGCCTGGCTATTATGTAACCTGGCCTGTCCTTTATGTAGCCTGACCTGTCCTTCTTGTAACTTCGCCTGGCCTTTATGTAACCTGACCTGTCGTTTGTGTAAGCTGGCCTGTCCTTTATGTAATCTAGCCTGTCCTTTATGTAACCTCGCCTGTCCTTTATGTAACCTGCCTGTCCTTTATGTAACCTGGCGTTTTCTTTATGTAACTTGGCCTTTCATTTGTGTAACCTGGCCTGTCGTTGATGTAACCTCGCCTGTCCTTTATGTAACCTGGCCTGTCCTGTATGTAACCTGCCTGTCCTTTATGTAACCTGGTGTTTTCTTTATGTAACCTGGCCTGTCCTTTATGTAACCTGCCCTGTCCTTTATTTAACATGGCCTGTCCTTTATGTAACATAGCCTGTCCTTTATGTAACCTGGCCTTTTCTTTATGTAACCTGGCCTTTTCTTTATGTAACCTGCCCTGTCCTTTATGTAACATGGCCGGTCGTTTATGTAACATGGCCTGTCCTTTATGTAACCTGGCCTGTCCTTTATGTAACCTGGCCTGTCCTTTATGTAACCTGCCCTGTCCTTTATGTAACCTGACCTTTCCTTTATGTAACCTGGCCTGTCTTTTATGTAACATGGCCTGTCCTTTATGTAGCCTACCTGTCCTTTATGTAACCTGGCCTGGCCTTTATGTAACCTAGCCTGTCCTTCATTTAACCTGACCTGTCCTTCATGTAACCTGGCCTGGTCTTTATTTAACCTGGCCTGTCCTTTATGTAACCTGGCGGGCCTTTATGTAACCTCGCCGGTCCTTTATGTAACATGGCCTGTCCTTTATGACACCTGGCCTGTCCTTCATGTAACCCGGCCTGGCCTTTATGTAACCTGGTCTGTCCTTTGAGTAACCCGGCCTGTCCTTTATGTAAAATGGCCTGTCCTTTATGTAACCTCGCCTGTCCTTTATGTAACCTGGCTTGTCCTTAATGTAACCTGGCCTGTCCTTTATGTAACCTACCCTGTCCTTTATGTAACCTACCCTGTCCTTTATGTAACCCGGCCTTTCCTTCATGTAACCTGGCCTGGCCATTATGTAACCTGGCCTGTCCTTTATGTAGCCTGACCTGTCCTTCATGTAAATTGGCCTGGCCTTTATGTAACCTGGACTGTCCTTTGTGTAACCTGGCCTGTCCTTTATGTAATCTAGCCTGTCCTTTATGTAACCTCGCCTGTCCTTTATGTAACCTCGCCTGTCCTTTATGTAACCTGCCTGTCCTATATGTAACCTGCCTGTCCTTTATGTAACCTGTCCTGTCCTTTATGTAACTTAGCCTGTCCTTTATGTAACATGGCCTGTCCTTTATGTAACCTGGCCTGTCCTTTATGTAACCTGTCGTGTCTTTTTTGTAACCTATCCTGTCCATTATGTAACCTGGGCTGTCCTTTATGTAACCTGGCCTGTCCTTTATGTAACCTGGTCTGTCCTTTATGTAACCTCGCTTGTCCTTTATGTAACCTGGCCTGTCCTTTATGTAACCTGCCTGTCCTTTATGTAACCTGCCTGTCCTTTATGTAACCTGGCCTTTTCTTTATGTAACCTGCCCTGTCCTCTATAAAACCTGCCCTGTCCTCTATGTAACCTGGCCTTTCCTTTATGTAACATGGCCTGTCCTTTATGTAACCTGGCCCGTCCTTTTATGTAATATGGCCTGTCCTTTATGTAACCTGGCCTGTCCTTTATGTAACCTGCCCTGTCCTTTATGTTAAATGGCCTGTCCTTTATGTAACCTGGCCTGTTCTTCATGTAACCTGCCCTGGCCTTTATGTAACCTAGCCTGTCCTTTATGTAGCCTGACCTGTCATTCATGTAACTTGGCCTGGCCTTTATGTAACCTGCCATGTCCTTTGTGTAACCTGGCTTGTCCTTTTTTTAACCTGGCCTGCCCTTTATGTAACCTGTCCTGTCCTTTATGCAACTTAGCCTGTCCTTTATGTAACCTGTCCTGTCCTTTATGTAACTTAGCCCGTCCTTTATGTAACCTGGCCTGTCCTCTATGTAACCTGGCCTGTCCTTTATGTAACCTTCCTGTCCTTTATGTAACCTGGACTTTTCTTTATGTAACCTGCCCTGTCCTTTATGTAACCTGGCCTGTCCTTTATGTAACCTGGCCTGTCCTTTATGTAACCTGGCCTGTCCTTTATGTAACATTGCCTGTCCTTTATGTAACCTGGTCTGTCCATTATGTAACCTGGTCTGTCCTTTATGTAACCTACCCTGTCCTTTATGTAACATGGCCTGTCCTTTATGTAACCCGGCCTGTCCTTCATGTAACCTGGCCTGGCTATTATGTAACCTGGCCTGTCCTTTATGTAGCCTGACCAGTCCTTCATGTAACTTGGCATGGCTTTTATGTAACCTTGTCTGTCCTTTGTGTAAATTGGCCTGTCCTTTATGTAATCTGGCCTGTCTTTCAAGTAACCTCGCCTGTCTTTTATGTAACCTCGCCTGTCCTTTATGTAACCTGCCTGTCCTTTATGTAACCTGCCTGTCCTTTTTTGTAACCTGGCCTGTCCTTTATGTAACTTAGCCTGTCCTTTATGTAACATGGCCTGTCCTTTATGTAACCTGGCCTGTCCTTTATGTAACCTGTCGTGTCTTTTATGTAACCTATCCTGTCCATTATGTAACCTGCGCTGTCCTTTATGTAACCTGGCCTGTCTTTTATGTAACCTGTCCTGTCCTTTATGTAATTCGCCTCTCCTTTATGTAACCTGGCATGTCCTGTATGTAACCTGCCTGTCCTTTATGTAGCCTGACCTGTCATTCATGTATCTTGACCTGGCCTTTATGTAACCTGGCCTGTCATTTATGTAACCTGCCCTGTCCTTTATGTAACATGGCCTTTTATTTATGTAACCTGCCCTGTCCTCTATGTACCCTGGCCTGTCCTTTATGTAACATGGCCTGTCCTTTATGTAACCTGCCTGTCCTTAATGTAACCTAACCTTTTCTTTAAGTAACCTGCCCTGTCTTTTATGTAACGTGGCCTGTCTTTTATGTAACATGGCCTGTCCTTTATGTAACCTGGCCTGTCCTTTTATGTAACATGGCCTTTTGTTTATGTAACCTGTCATTTTCTTTATGTAACCTGCCCTGTCCTTTATGTAACATGGCTTGTCCTTTATGTAACCTGGCCTGTTCTTCATGTAACCTGTACTGGCCTTTATGTAACCTGGCCTGTCCTTTATGTAGCCTGACCTTTCATTCATGTAACTTGGCCTGGCCTTTATGTAACCTGGCCTGTCCTTTGTGTATACTAGCCTGTAGTTTATGTAACCTTCCTGTCCTTTATGTAAGCTGCCTGTCCTTTATGTAACCTGTCCTGTCCTTTATATAACTTAGCCTGTCCTTTATGTAACATGGCCTGTCCTTTATGTAACCTGTCGTGTCTTTTATGTAACCTATCCTGTCCATTATGTAACCTGGCATGTCCTTTATGTAACCTGGCCTGTCCTTTATGTAACCTTGTCTGTCCTTTATGTAACCTCGCCTATCCTTTATGTAACCTGGCCTGTCCTTTATTTAACCTGCCTGTCCAGTATGTAACCTTCCTGTCCTTTATGTAACCTGGCGTTTTCTTTATGTAACCTGGCCTGTCCTTTATGTAACCTGCCCTGTCCTTTATGTAACATGGCCTGTCCTTTATGTAACATAGCCTGTCCTTTATGTAACCTGGCCTTTTCTTTATGTAACCTGGCCTTTTCTTTATGTAACTTTTCCTGTCCTTGATGTAACCTGGCCTGTCCTTTATGTAACCTGTCGTGTCTTTTATGTAACCTATCCTGTCCATTATTTAACCTGCGCTGTCCTTTATGTAACCTGGCCTGTCCTTTATGTAACCAAGCCTGTCCTTTAT